AAGCAAAATGTCAGATTCATATACATTAGCAATTCTTCTAATGGTGTTTGCAACATTTCTATTAGTCTCTTTGTAGCGACTGGGCTGTACCAATGGGTTTTTGCATACTACAGTAAATGGGCATGTTTGACTATACAGGAACACAAATTGCTCGAGCTTTCAACAGACTAAATTGGCAAAGACCTTTCCACACCACACCTGCCTCTCCCAATTACACTCTTATCCAAAATTACTCTGACTTTGAAACGTAATCAGAAGCTTTATGTTATAAGCTTTTTCAAAAAGAAATTTGTGGCCATGAATGCGATGTTGCACTCGCGAGGGATGCGGCAATGCGCTGCAAGCATACGATTCGCAGCGGCGCAGCGGCCAGGCGCCGGGCATGGGAGCCACTGTCGCAGCGCTGAAACATTGCGTTGCCAGATCGAGAGATATTGGGAGCGGGAGGAGGATTCACTACGATGTTCGGCAGAGGTCGGCAGCTCGGCGCTTTCTCCATCGATCTTGCTGGAGAATATTTTGATGGACTTGTATTTCAAGTGCGGTGGGGGGCTGGGGTGGCTTGGCAGCTCTTCCAAGAAATGCCTCACAGGAATGTCACCTCGTGGACTTCTATGATCCTTAGACGTTTCGAGATCGGCGATCCGGAGGTGGCTTCCAAGCTCTTTATGCAAATGCAGGAGCAGGATGTTGTTGCTGATATTTTGTAACAAGAAATTGAGAAAACTATCAATGTCTTGATTTACCATTCACCTGTAAGGTTGTCTTTGACCATATATTCCAGAAGAAAACTCCAGGACGAGACCAAAACAAAAGCCAGCTGGCTGTACACCACGTGGCTCTAACACTCCCTCTCCTTTTTAATCACACACCTTCTGTCCTGGCTGATCGCGAATAAATGCTCGGCGCTGGCCTGCCAATGGAAAGCGGCCTTTTCCACCATTTTTTCCTACGTACAATTAGGTTTTCAATAATGATAATATTTTAGGGCTTGTGCACGTCATTGACTGCGCATGCAAAAGATGACCCTTGACTGTTTGGCGCGTGCAAGAGGTGGTGTATAAATCTCACTGTTGTGTGCTCTTAGATGTTCATTGGATCTTCCTTGAGAGAGTTTTCATTTGATTGACGATCATAGCATAGCTTTGTGTTTGCGTGACAATGGCAGGAAAAATGGTGCTCGTTCTTGTGGCGGTCATTGTCTTGGGATCAATGATCACGGCCAATGCAAGCTACTTCGATACTTGGGCAGGGCCCGGGTGTAACAATCAGCGGGTGCGCTACAGTGCTTGTGGATGCACCAATGTTGGAGCCTCGCAGCACGGCGGCTACAGCTTTGGGTACCAGGGCCAGACTGCTGCGGCCTACAACACGGCAAACTGCCAAGGTGTGGCGCAGACACGGTTTAGTGCCTCTGTACAGGACTGCTCGGGCTTTGGATGGAACAGCTTCTTCATCCAGTGCTAAAGAGCTCCATGGTTCAAATAAAATTGCCAAATAAAAGAGAAAAATCTTCCTCTGTAGTAATGTTAGTAGCTCATTAGTTTGGACGTTTGTGGCTCATTGAGCGCCCATAAGATTATTATTTGTATTATTCTATTTTAGATTCGTGATGGATGCCCATGCCATCTGGAACTTTTGCTTTGCTTTTGCTTTCTGTAGTTATTTTCTGCCAATTTAAGATAGTTCACATGTTGAAGCAAAATGTCAGATTCATATACATTAGCAATTCTTCTAATGGTGTTTGCGACATTTCTATTAGTGTCTTTGCAGCAACTGGGCTGTACCAATGGTTTTTGCATACTACAGTAAATGGGCATGTTTTACTATACAGGAACACAAATTGCTCGAGCTTTCAACAGACTAAATTGGCAAAGACCTTTCCACACCACACCTGCCTCTCCCAATTACACTCTTATCCAAAATTACTCTGACTTTGAAACGTAATCAGAAGCTTTATGTTATAAGCTTTTTCAAAAAGAAATTTGTGGCCATGAATGCGATGTTGCACTCGCGAGGGATGCGGCAATGCGCTGCAAGCATACGATTCGCAGCGGCGCAGCGGCCAGGCGCCGGGCATGGGAGCCACTGTCGCAGCGCTGAAACATTGCGTTGCCAGATCGAGAGATATTGGGAGCGGGAGGAGGATTCACTACGATGTTCGGCAGAGGTCGGCAGCTCGGCGCTTTCTCCATCGATCTTGCTGGAGAATATTTTGATGGACTTGTATTTCAAGTGCGGTGGGGGGCTGGGGTGGCTTGGCAGCTCTTCCAAGAAATGCCTCACAGGAATGTCACCTCGTGGACTTCTATGATCCTTAGACGTTTCGAGATCGGCGATCCGGAGGTGGCTTCCAAGCTCTTTATGCAAATGCAGGAGCAGGATGTTGTTGCTGATATTTTGTAACAAGAAATTGAGAAAACTATCAATGTCTTGA